CCAGAAAATATATTGTGAAGCCCCCCAAGGCGTCGGGAAGTCAAGCTAGGCCAGGTCCCACTTAGCGCGGGCTGGCGTGCGAGTCGATTGGGGCGTCCTCAGGTTCCCCACCTGAGCCTGGATTTGGCTGAGCCCTGGAGACGTTGCCTCCCTTGACCGACTCCGGCAATGCCGCGAGTCCAGGCCCCGCCCTTCGCGGGGATTCTTTCTCCGCGCACCGCCGAGACCACGCGGCCACCATCCTCCCTGGCCCGCGCCTTTCCGCCCCGCCACTGACTGCGCGCCACAGGCCCCGCCACTCCGCCCGGGCCGCCTTCTTTCCTCGCTCGCCCAGGGGTTCCTGCGCCTCACCCTGGCCCCCCTTCGCTCCAACCTTTCAACGGCGGCCGCGCCTGCCCGCCTGAGGGCCGGCCCGCGCCTTGCAGTATCCCGCTCTCTCCGCGCCGAGGGCAGCCCGGGCGCCCAGGTGAGTTCGCCTCGGAGGAGGCCTGACGGGCCGGGGTCCCCGGGCTGCCCGGCCGGCGCCTCGGGCCTCGTGCAGGCGGGGTGATGGTCGGGGCTGGCGGGCCGGGTCGGGCCGCGCTGGGTGGGCGGAGGCGCGGTGGGCGAGGGTGCCCCTCACCTGCCCTCCCTCCCGCGGCCTTTGTCCCGCTGGCCGGCTTTTTCCTGCCGGGCCGCGTCACTGGTCACCCCTCAAATCACCTGGCCGCCCCTCACCTGACCCCCACCCCGGCCATCCCTCTCCTGGCTGCCCCTCCCCTCTTCGCCCCTCCTCTGGCCGCCCCTCACCTGGCCGCCCCTTACCTGGCCGCCCCTCACCTGGTCGCCCCTTACCTGGCCGCCCCTCACCTGGCCGCCCCTTACCTGGTCACCCCTTACCTGACTCCCCTGGCCGCCCCTCACCTGACCCCTCACCTGGCCCTCCCTCCCCTGGCCCTTCGTCCCCTGGCCGCGCTTCTCCTGGCCGCCCCTCACCTGGTCACCCCTCACCTGGTCACCCCT